ATCACTTTTTTTTTTAATTTACATGTATGTATATTTTAAAATAACTATACGGAACATAATGATGTACAAGCATAATAAATAATTATTTAAAAAAAAATTGCAAGCGGAAGGCAGCAAAAAGGTTAGCAAGAAAGCGAATCGTACTTCCGAAAGAAGTTGAGGCAATAAATAAATGCGAAAATCCAATGCTTGTTGATCTTTGTACCCTATTATGATAGAAAAATACAATGCTAGGGCTTCGATTCGAAATCCAACTTTTTAAACAGAACACAAGTCATATATTAAGGTGGTATAATACACATACTTAACCTCAATTTGAAATTTAATTGAGAAATGTAAAAAATTATTTGTCAAGATAGGTACAAAGCCCAATATTTTGCCTTCACGCGATTGGGCTACCCACTTAAACTAAACTAAGTATGCCTTAAGACTGCTCTTCGTGATTTTGTGACTCTTGAAGACGCAAGCGGTGATGGTATCTTCCCAACGCTACTTAATTGAGAACAACATTGGTGATATCATCGATTACATGGTGTGTCTATTTAGAGCTAGTTGTACTTGAAAATTAGGGCTACGAATTCTATCGTGATTTTCTGATTATTCGAATATCTGAAAAAAACGAAGATCAGATATCCGGATATACGAATAGTTTACATACTTACATTCGGATACCCGAATAGTGAGTAGATCAGTATATCCGGATACAAATTAGCAATAAAATAACAATTATTTGTGTAATGACAAATTCTATTCTTCATGTTGCTACTCGAAAGAAATTGAAAATATTCGGATAACAAAATGAACGGATATTAACAGGATTCCCGGATTTTATCCGCATACACGAATATCCGAATATACAGATAGATCCAGCCTAATTGGAAACGCATGAAAAGATACACCGAACTTTGGTTCAGCTACCCTTGAAAGAACAGTACTTGAATACTATCCTGACGAAGTAAAATACCATAGAGTTACCCCAGATAGGGGACGAAGTTCGAGTTCCCATTTGGACAAAGCTCTCTTTAAGACTCTTAAGTCATGTGTGCTTGCAAGAGGTTTTTTATTTGGACAAGTTGTCTGATGGAATGGTTATAACGTCCTCATTCGTCGGTAGTCAAGGGACCGAAACACTAGGAAGACGTATGACGTTTTGATGAGCTTGAATGTTTGCCAGGTCTATCCTTCACCAATGAAAACAAGATCAGCTTCTGTCCATAGGGACAGGGGCGTTAGCTGTGTGGAGTTTTGGGGGATGCGAAGAGGTGCCGTGAGTCATGTGGCGACTCTCCGCATGCCGGGCACTGATTGGGCACATCTCTATTGATTCTTCTCAGGTATGAGTTTAATCTGCTGCAATAGCCAGAGCGAAGTTGGGATATTGTGGTTCGGGTCTCCCGAGGCCGACAAAGCTCTGTCCCGTCCACGTCAGGTGGTTGTTGGCCAGAGCGGCATTCACAGGATGAGAGTTTATATAACTCGAGACCGACTCCCTGTGAATTTCGTTTAGGGCCTGTCGGTTTGCAGTTGCATCCAGAGGTTGTTTTATGAACCTCTGGACTTCGTCCGTCGGTTAGTAGAGATGCCTCCTGACGTGCTTTGTCGAGGGCTTTTCTTCCAGCAGTTGTATATTCGGGTGCCCGCGTCTTTGACACCCAGTCGCAGTTCGAGGTGCACTGTTCTGGCGACCACACGGGCGCTGCTGAATATAGAACCGGCCGGCCAATGGCCTTTGCCGTATATTGCCCACAACGTTTCTTTGTCTATGCCTCAAATGTTATATTAGGCGAGCTGATGCAGCTGCCCATAATCTTGGTAAGTACGTCGTCGTTCATTGTGCAGAATGTCGAATCGTCTATCTGCTCAGCCAAGTGCGTTCCCCTACGATCGTTCGACAGGCTTGAATGCCAAAGATCGTGGTGAGCGTTAAAGTCGCCAACTAACGTACGGTTTTCACCTCTGAGGAGCGCACCAATTGCAGGATGATATCCTGCCGGGCACCTGGTGACAGGGATATATACGTCAAATATTTCGAGCTCGACATCGCCTGATCCGATAGCAATACCCTGACATTCCAGGATGATATCCCTGCGGTCGATGTCTGCTTCGGTAAGACGATACTGGCACACAGACCAAGGGGTTTGGAGAAATGGAGGCCCTTCACTTGAACCCAGATATGTATGTGTATTGGTACACAAACTGATCCACGATCAAGGAAGATAGAACAGGTACGGAACTCGGCACTAGACTTTCTTATTTAAATAGGCAGATAAACCCGCCCAGATCGGCTTGTATCTCAGTCAATGTCGTCAAGCTCCACTAAAGGAAGACCAAAGAAGCGTCCAGCCTCTTTAGGTGAGTGGGGATTTGTGGGCATGCGAAGAGATTTTTCAATTCGCGGAGTGACTCTCCGCATGTTGGACACTCGTTTGACACAGCGTTTCCGCTACCTGAACAACCCCAGTGTTTCCGGCTGAGGTACAAGCGTAAACCTCGAAGAAGGTTTGAATGGCACGTTTATAGTTAGCATTCAGGCAGCCAAGCGGCCATCAGAACCCTGCTTTATGTTATGATCATCTTAGGGCTCATCAAGAAGTGACTAGAAACTCTTAAACTCTTGGCGGCGAAAAAAAGTCGAAGTAAAGGAAGTCCCTAACGAAGAGAGCGGTAGATTGGCTTAGACAGAAAAGCAATGCTCTGAATTAGGTACCCTATCGGCCTTAACATAGTCGATCATTTTATTTACAGACATATCTTGGACTTGATAGTAAGGCTCTTATGATAGGGATACAAAAGGTTTTCTAGATAGCGTACTCTCTAAGGTTCACAATGGGATCTACGGCCGCGATAGGTATTTAGAAGGAAGTGTTCACCTTTTCTAGTATCTACATACATGCAAACATACCCATTTAGCGAAAAAAATCCCTTTAAAATGAGCATTAGTAGATAAGAGAAATATGGCGACTACCAAAAAAAAAAGAGAATGGCACGCAATCAATAAAAATTAATTTCAAATATCCTCGCCTTATTTTATTTCTAAAGCCGCAACAAAATGTTTGCAAATCTGACAATTGCAAGAAGCTGGCCAAAGTCGCGAATCCTCCCATCACCTGCTTACGCACACGCTCTGCAAAAGGGGAGAACATTTGAAGAGGGAAAAGATATAAAAGCACGACAGACGTGAACGCACGTTAAAAATGTGAAAATGGTACCCAAGGGGTGCAAATACAAAGCAAAATGAAAAAATTGGGGTCCCAAATTAGCTCGAAACCTAAAGGGGCAACGCAAAGTACCTAATACTGAAGAATAGTGAATGGATTAAAAACGAAAAAAGTGGTTAGTGGCGAAAATCATCCACCAAAACGATGTGGAAGCCAAAAAATATTTGGCTAAATGGAAGCAACGCTCTGCTTGTGTCGTCTGAACCAACCAAAAATTATGAAGTGGTTATTTTTGTATTTTTTTTTTTTTGCTTTGATTAAATATTTGAAAAGCGTAGAATTCTTAAGCTTGTGTGTGCTTATAGTCATTCCAAATATGTCTGCAACTGACAAATTTTCGACATAAGCATACAATTATGGCAAGCGAAAATTGTGCTAATGTGAGGCAGTTTTTTATGGCATTGCTAGTATGGTGCCAACGATTGCAAGGAATTATTTATTAGCGAGATGGTTTATAAAAAATAAAAATCATTTTACATTGAAATATAATTTAGCTGTAAATGTGTAAGACGACTTGCGAATGTAAGTAAACTAAAGGATTATTATTAACCGTTAGTGTAAATTAGCATAGTATAGCCATAATAAATAAATAAATAAATAAATATTCTAAAAACTACAAACACCCTTCAATGGTGTGCTTTGCAACATTTTGGCTAATTACAAAATTGCCCCACGAAAAGCGAAAGTCCTCAGAGTTACCAACAAATAAAAGTTCACAGACACAGCAGCAAACCGAGTTCACCCAAGTGAGATGTTGAGGGTTGGCTACAGCGCTGCATAATTACTAGCAGCAATTTGCTTTACAGCCGGCAAGTTGGCAAACAAATAAAGAAAATACGAATCCCAGCGCGAATCGCGTGATCCCAGATATGCGCACGACCCACCACCACTACTGCCACCAACTCACCTCACCCCAGCAGTCAGTAGAGGCCGCGAGTTATATGTGCTTTCAAGTGCACCTCAAAGCAAATATCAAGTGCAATCTACAATAACAACAACGAATGCACACGTCGTAAACTACAAATGGCCACGTTCAACTACCAAAGCTCTCGTCTCCTTGCTCTTCTGCACGCAACGGTCAGACCAGTAGAGCGAAGTATATCAAATTGTGTATGTAAAGATTATAATTTCATTTTCAGGCAAGAAAGAGAAAATGCAATAAAATCGATTGTCCTTGAGGGAGAAGTAAACGGCATGCGGCAGGCAGCTGGTGGATGCCAAGCGCCGAACGTGAAACACATTGCAATCAGTATGCTTTCGTACTACGAAAAGGCTACAGAAATGGAGACAGCTGACAACGAAGTGTTAGCTATGTATAAGCATTTTATTGATTTTTCAAAGTGGCAATGAGGAAGTTGAACTTTTTCTTGGAATAATTAATGAACAGCTGGTACATTTTCAACGAAAAAGTTGTAAAGGATTTTGTAGTGCATACTAGTAAACATAAAAGTTTTTTAACTCTGGCCAGCACCTACACATTCGCAGGCCTATGCATTTTTTGCTTCGCTTGGCTGACTCGGCCGCACCCAAAGTGTCTGCTGCATGCTACCTCTGTGTTCTGCATTCGATTTGCGTCTTTGCTTTGATTTGCCACAAACTTGCCGTCGTTGTTGATTCATGCCAGACACATATTTTTAAAGTTTCTTTTTTTTTCATAATTCCCTTAATCATTAAGCATAAGACGCATGCATATTCCACACATTCCTAACCACACCCCTTTGAAATTTGTTCCTTCCTGTAAACGATTTTGCATAGGTACCTCATAACATGTCGTACACTCACCTGCCATCACGGTATCCGCGAGATTGTATTTGGTGCCTGTTTTCGGAAAGTCCTTCAACTTGCGATTCGTCAGTATTAACTCGCCGCTTAGGTGAGCCTCCTCCAGGATGCGTTCCAGCGAGCGAGCCAGCTGCGAATGTGCCATGCTGCCCATGCTCGCGCTGAGTCCACCAATGCTTCCACTGGTGCTATGGAGCCGATTATAAACGGCCGCCGTTGCAGCCATCCTCGCTTAGGCGTGGTGTTGAGCTCTTTTCAACCGCAGCTACTTTTCGCTTTTGTACCTATACTTGTAAATTTTGTGATTTGGTAGCTAGAACGCGATATTTCAGTTTAATTTTTTACACACACTTTTTGGCATACTTGTTATTTATATTTTTTCATATAAATTTTCCAATAAAACTAAGCATCA